ATTATACTCAGCACACTGCAGCACTCCGATCCTTGACTGCTCAGAACACAAAAAGTGCCACTTGTCGGTTCTACTTTACAGTCCGGTAGCTTTATTTAGCTCGAAAATGAGATAAGAAGCAAGCCCTCTATCGTACAAATTACATATAATCGAATTAGACGCTGAGAAGGCTAGTCCACTTCAAGCCCGCAAAGTTAACCATTGGAGTCTGCTGTACGAGTGGACATAGGATAGGCCGGGCGAAGACCGGTTTTTTCGAAATTTCTTATTTTAAAACTAGAATTTTTCATGGATTCTTCCTCAGGTGATTTAGCTCATGGAAGATTGAGGGCCGGAAAGATTTTATGTCGTGCTGAGAGGTATGGGGATGACGGTCGTGTTTTCGAGATGGATTCGGCGGACGCGATTGATGGGTCTGGGGCGGTTTCGCAGGAGTGGAGTTGGAGATTGCACTCTTATGGCTTAATGTAGATATCAAGGAGTGCTCCAATGTCCTGTTTGCCTCTTAGAGAAGCGGAGCGAACTTGCATTTTTAGAACAGAAACGTGCCTTTCGATGCTTGAATCATACTCAAAGGGCCTGATGATGTGAAGCGATAGATTGGTTGTTCTTCCTCTTTGCACTATATGAAGATTGTAGGCGTTACTTTAGGAAACGGCGTATTATACGGGATAACTGAAGGGGGGGTAGGCGGCTTTTGGCGATAGCGAAGTAACAGCTATGCCAGCGTGGTTCAGATTATGCCGGACAGGATGTTTGAGCTAAATTGAAACTCTGGAGGCACACTGGTTTCTAATATCAACTATGTTTTGTTTTTGTTGAGTGGACATACTTTTGGAACAAAGAAAAATTTTCATCCAAAATTTTTTTTTTTCGAAGTGAAGGCGATATTATTCTGCTTTGCTTCCACTGATAGGTTGTCGACTACGAGAATCGATTTGAGAGGATTTCATAGCACGAAACCTCATGTTCCTTTTAAACGATAAATTTTGAGGGTGTGCATATACTTATTGAACGCAATGTTACTTGACGAAGTCTGTAGATTGTACCAATCCATGAAGTGAACTGCTCATCAGTCTCTACACCTAAATTTGTAGTGCTTGGGCCACGGAATATCAAAAAGTTAAAATCCCCCATGAAATGAGGCTAGATAGTTCTCAACCAGTTTTACTAAGTACCTTGAGGATGTTTGGAAATTTGGACACAGGCAGGGGTCGGTAACCAGCAGGTGCATCAAGCCAGTGAATGATTTGGGTATGAGCAAGTACATTGGAGATCTATTACTGAATCGCTTCGAGTCTCAAAGTGTCCTGTTCGGACCAAGCTTCAGCCTTTGTTGTGAGGATGGAGGTCGCGCTATGTGCTCGCAGACATTTTTCGTGTGAACGTAGAGCGTTCGCTATCTGGGGTGTGCCTGGTAAGTTGTACGAGGAAGGGCCATGCTCTCTGGAGAAGAACAGACATATTTCAGTCTGTTGAAGTGAGCAACTTTTGAGTTAACGTAATTGACGCGCTGGTGAGACGGCCGGTGATCATCGTGCGTGCTGCGATGCACTCAACTGTAACAACTTAGTGATGCAACTCTGCATGAAAGCAAGCGGTGCGGACCTTGTGGATTCTTTTCTAGGGAAAGTGAGATGTTAGTCAGTAACTTCCAGGTACTTCTTTTAGTTGGATATATCCTCCTATTGAAACAAGCGGGTAACAATTATGGTATCGGCAAAGCTTAACTGATGTTTGCTGCTTTCGTAATATTCACAAATTCTCATCGTCGTCGGCTTCCTCTTTCCATAGCTAAAGTGTTCCACCTTGATTGATGTCGGATTGCGTTTTTCTAAAGGCTTTCAACCGAGAGAGCCATACTCTCGTGGCGTGTCAACGTAGCAGTAGAGGTAAAAAAGTTTGGAACTTGATTTTTTATTTTGATCAGCGAGGCCGACATCACGAAATTGTCCGGCAAATTTTGATATTATTAACGGATTTAGTCTAAAATAGACTAGCAACCATTTCCGAAAAAAACTCGAAGTCTTTTGAGAACTACATTTTTTTGAATAAATGACGTCCAGTTAACTGTTTTTGTTTCGCCTCATAATTGAGCTTCCTCCTATTAATTTCGATTGTTTTGTTATTTTAGCAACATTGAGTATTAGTGGTAATTTTCAAATGAATTAACATGTAAAGGAAGCGGTTTCTTGAATTGCTCTCATCCCGTAATTCGAAGGTGGTTGGCGATGCACAGTACACCCGACATCCCTTCTAAGGGACACTTTTATGGTTTTTTTCTTATCGTGTGAAGGACGCAAAGTGAGCCACCTCGCGCGCCGTGGTGAATTTAGGGATATGTAAGGAAGACGCCAAGAGAGGCTTAATATAGAGGTGGCCTAACTGGCCTTCCGCCGACTAAGCTAAATGGACCAAGGGGACAAAGTGAAACTGCCTCAGAGATGTCTGAGATTTCAACCTTCTAGAATATGCTAGTGACCTGTGAAGTGTTTTTATAGCAGGAACTAATCTTTAAGTACAGTCTCGAACAGTCCGAAATAGCGAAGTTTGTCATTGGATGGCGAATAGTGACCGATCATTCGGCGATTACCAGTTCTATGTATACAGGAAATGTGGATGTGGTAACTATACAAGATCTGTAGAATAATGCTTCCCTTTGATAGTACAGATTGTCTGAAAAAATGGTTTCACATCGCGGAAATAAAACGCGATGCAGGCTACGTCTCATGCTGCTTCCTATGCGCCGAAAATAAGCTCTCTAATAAGGGGACCGAATAAGATCTAGAGTCTACTAATTGCATCGCTTGCCAAGAGGTGGATGTGCGCAATCAATTCCAGTTAGGACCCCACAAACATTGCGATCAGTCACAGTGTCGGGTTCGACTAAAATTAAATTATTTTATATTGCTTCTGTCAAAAGATGCTCGACATAGAATCACATAATCATCGGATAATAATTTACTATGTAGGATTTGCGAGAGCTATTTTTGCCGATTGTTTGGAATTGAGAAGTTTCAATTTTGACGCGACATTTCTTATAAAATTCGTATCTTTCAATTGTTATTCTCCTTTTAAGAATTATTTTCTATTTAATTACACTCGATTCTGATTATAAGTCAATTTTGGGACATTTCATTGTCTATTGATAGGCTAGATCAAAATAAAAAGTTTTCGAACTTTTGACCGTATGTAATATCGATAAACACTTTTAAACGTTCTCGCATGGATTACCTATGGTGGAGCATGGAGTGGGCATTTTGCAGGCTAATTCCAAGATAAGCTTTTTCTCAGCAATATGACAGCTGGAGGGATAGTTTTTTCTTGCTTCTTGACTATTTTGTTAGGGACCCTGTCGGATTGGACTGCACCAAATCTCCTTTCACTTCATCATTTTTGTGGAAGTTGCAGTGGTGTCTACCATTCTCGATCATTTGATGACAAACTCCGCAGTTATGCCACATACTAGTGGTATTTTGGCTTTGTTTTCGCGCTGGGGGCAAGCATGTTCAACTGAGTGATCAGGCTTGGCGCAAACCACGTCCTACCATTCTAAAAATAGCGAATGTCAAGAAGTGGGATTAGAAGCACCGATAGAGGACGGATCTCCAGGAAGCTGATTACCAATCGCGCACTCTGATGTACTCCTTTTTCAAACTCGGAAATTTTTAGACACAACTTGCAAAAGGTCAATCTACCAAAACTAGACAATGAACGTTTAGGATAGCTTCTTTCTAATTCTACAGTTTAGCCCATGGGTAAATGTCCTGAGGAGACGAACAGCTGAGGGCAACATGATACCCTACGCTATTGCCATATCAACAATTTGAAGGTTTATGTTTATGTATTGATTTTTACTTTCGTTGCGTGCGCTTTCTTGGACAGTTACTCACGATTGCTGATTACTGACTTCCTTGCTTCCTCTAACTGTTGCATGTTAACAGCACCTTATATGTGGGTATTGCTTTCTGGGTTTGTTGCGGGATCAAGAGGAACCTATTTACCCCGCCAGGGAACGAATTCGTTGGTTACGTTGACCTAGCCGACTATGTATCTCTTTTTTCCACCCAGTTCCATTTTTCAGATTGATCGATCAGTCAGTGCATAGTCGCTCACAATCTGTCATATATTCCTGGTGACTCGACCAGGTGACAACATGTTTGTTCATTCATGAAGATATCACCGTACTCTATAACCCATATCTGCATATAAATACGGGTAAATCCACGGATGGCTTCCATGAAGCTGAAGGAGTTTTGCATTTAGTGGTCTTTGTGATGTTAATTTTCTGCGACTTTTTCTTTAATTCGATCGTGATATGACTTTGAAAGTGCATTCATGCTTCATTATTAGCGCATTTTAGGTGCAATTATGAACACAATAATCCTACGACACGAATACTTCTCCTTCGTTTACTAATGTCCCATTTCATTCAAATGACTGCATGCGTGCAAAGAAGCCATCAAATTTTTTGCTCGACTTTCTATGTTATTTGTATAGCTCCTCCGTACTCCGTCCCCCCCCCCCCTCGGGCTCTCCGCTTTCCAGCTCGGCGCAGTCCTTACCTTCTCGTCGGTGATCGTATTATACACTGGATAATAAATGCTATTGTTATTCTGTGTAGATGAAGAATCCCCCAACCTGCAACTCTCCTTGAATTGGTTATAATAAATGTAACATAATCAGATAGATTTCAGATGATATAAAAATATTTATTAAATGTGAGCAACACAGGAAGAGCGCATGCTAGTCTTGATAATCAAGCTAATCGGCATGTACAAACATCGAAGAACAACGGCAACACTCATTTCATTTTCATATGATGGGCTTTGGCTCGGAGTGAATCACACGTAACAACTACTGTAGACAGCAAAATTGAGGTATTATGTGAATACGAATGGATGTATGTAAGTATGTGCAATCAAAGAAATCTGAGAAGGTTTATACCGTCCAATTGTAGTTGGATTCAAACATTCAGTACTCGTGATATTGTAATGAAACTAGTACCCAGGTGCAGTTCGTGGTGGTGGGCAGTGATCGCATCTGCCAGGAGGACCAGGAATACCATCAGGCCCCTTTCGACCAGGTTTACCCGATTTACCTGGCGCTGCATTTGCACCACGATCACCAGCGTCACCGGGAGAACCGTCAACTCCGCTTTCACCTTTCTTTCCTGGTTTGCCTGACAACAAGCTTCTTCTTCACTTAAAACTTTAAACTGAGACAACGTACAATCTATTAACGCTACCTTCATCACCAGGTGGTCCGGCCGCTCCTGGAAGACCTGGCAGTCCATTTGGACCCAGTACTTCATAAAGTTTTCCTGGAGCGCCAGGCGCCCCTGCATGTCCTTTTCGTCCTGGTATACCACGCGAACCAAGTAAACCAATGGGTCCTGGAGGCCCCCGCTTGCCAGTCAGACCTGTTTTGCCAATCGCTCCAGGCGCACCTGGCATTCCTTTGGGGCCAGGACTACCAGGTGGCCCAGCAAGTGCATCCTCACATTCGAAGCACCATTCCTGAAAAATCACTGTCACCTTCTCAAAATATAAATAGAATATGTTTATGATTAAGATGACTTCGGACGAACTTGCTCTTTTTGCGGTACAGGAGGTGGCGCATCAGGACCATCTCTACCAGGACTTCCAGCAAGACCATTCTGTCCATCGCTACCATCAGGGCCTGGCAAACCGGGAGGACCTGTAGAGCTTGCTCCACATCCACAACAATTTGAAGCTGGTGAATACAATTCAACGCCATGTCTATCAGCGTCGAACTTATAACCAGCTTGGCGACGTGGTCGAACAGCCAAAGAAGTATATCCATTTTGAGTGAGAATCTTGAGCATAGAGATGACATTATTCGATGCCTAATTATCTTGATCGAAAAATTGGCGTGCACCTGTGTGAGAGCGATTTCTTTCCATATATTCCCTGATCGCATTTTGCAGAAAGTGATCTCGTTCTGTAGAACCGTATGCATTTGCTGCATATAGTTGTAAAGCAAAGGCACGTACAAAATGCATAGCAGTGTAGTGGTCGTCGATAAAGCGACTCCAACAAAAGCCGCTCTAAAATATTCCAGACCGCTTTCATCCACAACAACATGCCAACAGTAACAATATTCTTCAAATAAGTGGAGTATGTTGAGAAACAAGACAAGACAAGATTCAGCAGCAACACGGACATTTTGTGTACACCTTGTTTCTAGTTGGAATCCATGCACTGAAAGCATCATGCCTATCAGCTGTACTTATGCGATTGCTCGGTTTTTCCGTGGGTCGACACAAGAACCCATTCCTCAAATCATACTCAAAACGTTCCATATTCCCGGCATCTGCCAAGGGCTAGTGGGGATTTGGAGCTAAAGAGTTTGGGATGCTGAAAAAAACTACACAAAGGAGGCCAACAGCCGTCCGACCGATTTAGGAAGGTGCACGTCGGTGGACTTGTTTTGAAAAAATGAGATATTTTGAATCTGCGGAACGGGACTCAAAGATAAGAGTTCTGTTCGGAAGCAATGCAGATCAGTATGAATTTGGCACACATCAGTTATGTCGTAGATTCCAGCACTTTCAGGGACATGGCCTATGACTGATGAGTTCTCACACAACACACACTAGCTTTCGTATCTTTCTAAAGTGTTAGATTGGACCCGGATTTATAGGCTGATCAGAAAATCAATAAATAATTCCATAAAATGAGCAAAGGAATAAGAAGCGCAGATAACTAGTTACTCAGAACAAACATCACTATTTTTACCCTGTTTCTACCGACGGTCTAACTCCTCGAAGGCAGATTATAGTTTTTTGTCGAAATTAGGTCTTACCCTGAAAAAAGGAATGGAAAGGAAGCGGGGAGCACGTACATAAATGCTGAGATGATTTGACAAGGCCGAAACGCTGGAGCCATGATTAGGATGGGGTTCCTCTAAGAATTCTAAATTATAGATTCAAAGATCTGGAGGATCAGCAGTTTATTTAGTCTCGAACCACAAAGCGTCTTCAACTTCAACATCGGATGACACAATATTGCGACCCTCTGAAAGGGTGTTAAACTGGGGGAACACTTTCCTCACCTTCACTTTACCAGTTTCCTTCGCAAAGCTCATCTTATCACGGTGGAATCTTTTTCCAATCAAAGAATAACGAGGACATTTCAAGAGTTTTGGTCGACAGCGGAAGAAATAAACGTACGTACTTCTGCATTTTTCGTACATCTTGAGAGATTCATTATTACCTTCCAAAAACTTAATAAGGTATTAGGTTGTCCCAAAAGTTGATGCCACCTTCAAACATTTTTTGAATAAACATTATCTCAACAAAAAGTAGCCTCCATCATCAATATATGGACCATGACTACCAGTTCATTGCTGTCAATTATAGACCGGAGAGTAGATGCAGTGATTCCAGAAAGTCGGCAGTTTGAAGCCGAACAAATTCAGTGAGGTCGATTTCGAGCTGTTTGTTTGGGTCGTAATTTTAACTGTAAGATCACTTCTCTTTCTCTTTTTCTTTATCAAAGACAATGGATGGCCTTTGGAAGTAGCTCAACTGAGCTTCCGAATCCAAAGCCATGTCATTTTCGAAACACGTGGTTTCCATTGTTTAGTGGACATGCTTCATGGAATTTTAAGCTTAATATAGAGCTTTCGCTGACTCCAGCGGCGTATCCTCAGCGCCATCGAGATACCATAGAAGAGGGTGAAGAGTCCTCATAAGGATAGGAGAATGAGCGGAGTTTCTTCAAATTTGAAGAACGGTGGAGAGTTGCCCAAATAGACAGTGAGTTTATTTGCTGATTTCATACACAGGGCCTGTCAACCTGTTGATGACAGGCTGACGCGCTTGCGCGTCAGAAATTTGGCACCGCATCGGACATTCTGACGCGCATGCGCGTCAGAACCTTTCCACTCATTTTTCTCCACTCATTTTCATTTGCGCTGCTTCTTGATTTTTTTTGTATTCAGTCTGTAGATAGTCATTAGCATAACTATAAACCACATGATTGCTAAAGTGGTCAATATGCCTATGAGCAACGATTTTCTGAACTCCCATAATTTACACTTCAATTCTTTCCTAGTTCTCCTTTCACTGTCGTAAACATACATGTGGAAGATTATAGTTGAATTTAATACAAAACTCTGTGAGTTTCAATTTAACTGCATTTGATGGAAAAATAAGTATAAGTGCTTTTTACTTGAACCGTAGCGAACAGTTTTTTTTCTTCTTCGTGATCATTATGGATTCTTCTAAACAACCTTCTGCTGGTATTTATATAGGTGACCTCTAAGCTTTCATCCTTGTCGAAATAATTATGTAAGATTCAAATTTTGGACATTGTAAACAGAAAGTAAGCGTAAGGAAGGTGAGGACAGCGCGCTCGCAAAACCGCTCCTGTCCCCGCGGCGAAGAATGCCAAAACACGCAATGTCATCAACGTGATAACATTTCGGCTACTCTAGGAGTTTACCAACAAAGGGTTGACTCTGCTTAATTTCAGTTATCATGCAGTCGATCGTTGTGTTTTATTGTAATTTACAATAATTCGATATTAACACGTTGACAAGCGCCGTTGTGCGCATACTGCTTGAACTTTTTTTCGCATTCTCTCATCACTAGTTATTAATCCTTGAGCATTTTCATTATCGTTAATGCACAAATTGTTTTTTGGATCCATTAGTGTACACGGACCGTTGTGAAACAGGAAAAAACGCCAAATAAGTTAAAGGAAGCGATTACGATAAAAAGGGAGCGCATGAAGGAGAAGCATATGCACCACAAGAAGCAGTTAATTGGCTGCCAAGGAAGCGAAGTAAGGGGCTTTCACAGCGAAAAGTGCGCTGGTTGCTGAGCAGGGCGTTGAAAGGACTCCACCCCAAAAAGCGATCCGCCCACCAGTTTACTTGTTGATTTGGACGAGTTACGCGGCTAGCAGTGGCGCAAATGGAGCATCTCGATTAGAGCGTGATTCGGCAGTGGTGCCATCAGAAGCGTTGAAGTGAACTCGTTCATAGCTCCACTTTCTGACTCTTGATGAGTGAAAACCGACGGCCAAAAAAGTTGTCCCGTTTTGCGTTTTCTTGACGGATTTTTATGCTTTTCCGCCCCTGGCGTACCATAGAGCACCGCCAGGTCACAGTAAGCCCTTCTTGAATTTTCCATAATCGCTGCCTTTTAGGAAAACTGGCCTGCTTCATGTGAAAGTGTGGTATGATATCATGCCACACAGTCGTCAGCTGTTACCCTATTGGTCAAGGTAGGGAATTTGCAGCCAAATAACTTTTCATTCTTCTTGCTTTCTTCCACTCAACATGAAAATGTTGATCGAGTTAATAAGGCCTGGTTCTGGAACATGCAAAAATTCGAATTTGAACCGATTTCATTTAGTAGAAGAAAAATGTTGCAATCGAAAAAGAATTACCACCGAAGAATTTGAGTGCTACTGTATGTGC